TTGGCGTCGGGAGTGATGGTGACCATATCACTGATCGATGGCCACTTGTCAATAAAAAATACGAGTCTAACATCATAGAACATCATAGAACATCATAGAACATCATAGAACATCATAGAAACGATGCGCTACTAGCATTTTTTTTTTAAATCCGTTACTTTTTTTTTTTTAAAAGGATCGCCACCGCAGACTAGAACTTCCACAGTTTGAGAACTCCTAATTAATATACTGGGGTAGAATTTAGGGTGGTAATTAGAGCGGAAGACCGGCCTGTATAGAGATTCCTCACCAAAGCCTCTGTAAGCCTGGAGTCCTGTTAGAGCAACGACCAGCCCGACTTGTGTACGCCGCACCACCTGACCCCAAAACAGCTGCTATCCGCACATCCGTCAGTCACACCGGAAGTTACTATTTAAAAGAAATTTGTGTGAATAGACTAAGTGTTATCAAGTAGAATGAAGGAAAATGTATGAAAGAATTAAATCCACTCCTGTCGTATTTCTGTTATATATTTATGAGGCAATTTCTTTTGATTTCAAAGGCGATGACCGGAGAAATGCAGAATTACCAATACATGCCAGTGATAGTTATACGAAAATTGACACAAGACAATGAAGATTTATCTGCATGAAAACACTCAGGCTGGAGAATTTGCTAGAGAAAGACATACTTTTAGGAGTCTCGTGAGGAGAGCAACGTTCTGTAAAAGACCTTCTGTTTGATGATAAGCAGTTTTATAAGCATCCCTAGGACCTCTGTATTATGCTGTTTTTATCATGAAATATAACAAATTCTTCTGTAAATCCTAATCTCAAAAGCCTTTTTTCATAATTTTAATCCCTATGTCATTGCCGTGTTTTATAACATTTGACAATTCTCGGACGTAACTTATATAAAAATGCATCAAAGAGGAATAATGCTACATGCACAGGCAAGAACTCTGGGAACAGGAAAATGTGTCTGTGGAAACAGCAGAAATCTGGAAACATAATCTGTTTATCGAATCCAGATCCGGCTTATCTGCTTACAAAAGCATCCATCGTTACCGTTTGCCACGCCCCTTAAAGGCTTGTAGAGTAAATGTCTGTAGTAATCACAGACGCTCCCTCGCACGCAGGCACGTTAAAGTAAATATTGTCTTAACCTCTGACGATTCTCAGGCAGCATAGTCATACTCACCACTGCCTTTCCAGCAACACAGGAGAAAACCATACTGAGAGGAAAATCCCGTTCCATGTAGTTAAGCGTAAGGGGGCGGCGCGGAGTACCGCTACTACCCGACGGTTTGATTACCTCTGCTACTCGACCGTTTGATTACCGCTGCTACCCGACCGTTTGATTACCGATGCTACCCGACCGTTTGATTACCGCTGCTACCCGACGGTTTGATTACCTCTAATACCAGACCGTTTGATTACCGCTGCTATCCGATGGTTTGATTAACTCTGCTATCCGACGGTTTGATTACCTCTGCTACCCGACGGTTTGATTACCTCTGCTACCCGACGGTTTGATTACCTCAGCTACCCGACGGTTGATTACCTCTGCTACCCGACGGTTTGATTACCTCAGCTACCCGACGGTTGATTAACTCTGCTACCTGACGGTTGATTAACTCTGCTACCTGGCGGTTGATTAACTCAGCTACCCGACGGTTGATTAACTCTGCTACCTGACGGTTTGATTACCTCTGCTACCCGACGGGTTGATTAACTCTGCTACCCGACGGTTTGATTACCTCTGCTACCCGACGGTTTGATTACCTCAGCTACCCGACGGTTGATTAACTCTGCTACCTGACGGTTTGATTACCTCAGCTACCCGACGGTTGATTAACTCTGCTACCTGACGGTTGATTAACTCTGCTACCCGACGGTGATTAACTCTGCTACTCTGCTACCCGACGGTTGATTAACTCTGCTACCCGACGGTTGATTAACTCTGCTACCTGACGGTTGATTAACTCTGCTACCTGACGGTTGATTAACTCTGCTACCTGACGGTTGATTAACTCTGCTACCCGACGGTTGATTAACTCTGCTACCCGACGGTTGATTAACTCTGCTACCTGACGGTTGATTAACTCTGCTACCTGTCGGTTGATTAACTCAGCTACCCGACGGTTGATTAACTCTGCTACCTGACGGTTTGATTACCTCTGCTACCCGACGGGTTGATTAACTCTGCTTCCCGACGGTTTGATTACATCTGCTACCCGACGGTTTGATTACCTCAGCTACCCGACGGTTGATTAACTCTGCTACCTGACGGTTTGATTACCTCAGCTACCCGACGGTTGATTAACTCTGCTACCTGACGGTTGATTAACTCTGCTACCCGACGGTTGATTAACTCTGCTACCCGACGGTTGATTAACTCTGCTACCCGACGGTTGATTAACTCTGCTACCTGACGGTTGATTAACTCTGCTACCTGACGGTTGATTAACTCTGCTACCTGACGGTTGATTAACTCTGCTACCTGACGGTTTGATTACCTC